TATGTGAGCAATGACAAAGTTTGAGTAAAATTGAAACAAAAAGGAAACTTATACTTAACATGAGGAAGAGACAGTTGAAATTTCTAATGAGGAAAGAGGGCTTGGAAAATCTAATATTCACATGACAGATTGAAGGCAAGAGAGACAGAGGAAAACAGCACATAACATAGTGAGCTTGAGTAAATGGATAGCTAAACAGAAGAAATAACAAAAGACAAAATTCATTAAGAGCTACAAAAGACAGGAAATTGTGGAGAGCCATGATCACCTATGTCCTGAGCGTAGATGGCACATAAAGAAAAAGCTATATTAATTTGCTCAGATGATTTATCATGAGCAAATTTTTCTCATAATCTTTGTAAAGTTGTCTTTCTCCTAGACTGTCTGTTAACCACAGCTTGATAAAGCAGTCTGCTCTGCTATTTAGTTCATAGATGGGGGAAGAGAAATAGTTTAATGCCTTACACAAAGGTATTTGAGCGAAAGTGAATGCAACGACCAAGAATTTACCAGGATATGAAACCGATTCACCAATTTTGGTTTACGAAGCATTAAAAGTTACGACACCGGCACCTCCAGCTCAGTCTTGAACATTCTTTTTGTTATTTATTTTGGCTTCATAGTTACGATCCTTCATCAAATCTCTTAGACTAGCCGCTACAGAAACACAAGGAACTTTACCAAACAACAAAAACACATTTCTTGGAGACTTTCAACAGAAGCATCAACTAAAATGGATGACATGCGCAACTCGGAGAGAAATTAAATTTAAAGTCAAGATCTTGACTTTACACACTACTTTAAAGCAATAAATAAGAAGGAAACTCTTTATCAGTACTAGAAAGAGCGACCATAGTGCTTCTTGTTCCTCTTTAGTGTACACTGCTAGCGGAGCGGTCATGTTTACACTGTAACAGCGGCAAGAAGACTAGCGTGACCAAACGCATAAACAGAAGGCAGTGTAGTAAATATAAAGTTATCTTATGACGAAAGAGAAGATAAATTTTCACTTATCCTCGTACATGCTACAACAGATAAAAACACGTGTAAACATCAAATTCAGATCAGCAGCAATACTTAGATGAGCGCCGTGCTTCAAAAAAGTTTCGGCCCACTAAGCTTAGCACCTCTCCACACGGTGGGCCCCCCAACAGCTGGATGATGTTACGTTGCAACCGGTCTATGTTGTTAGTTGGACGCGACTCGATACGAATTTCCGGGTACTCCATGCACTGCGTTCCACCGCTTTCTCGCCACAAGTCTTTAATACCTTATTCGGCTTTTGGATACCAGCACACTTGAGAAATCTCTTTAAGAAAGCAGCAGGAAATCCTCTAGAGCCAACCTCAAACGGCACCAGGGTGCAGCCGTATCCCCTCTCGCGGACTTCAGCCACCAGTTCATCATACCGAAGCTGCTTTCTTTCATGAACCTCTTCAAACCCTTCCCCTCATGCCACTGCCTGCTCGCCAAGCATCAGATGTTTCTTCTCGCTACCAATCAACAATAGATCTGGCCTCAGTCCAGACAGACACAATAACATCCCCTGGCTGCAACACTGTCCACATCCTTGAGTTCTCCGACCTGGTCGTCTGCCTTATGTCACTCACACCTTGCTGCAGGAAGGCGATCCTTCGCAGGTCCGACGAGGGTATATTAGCACTTCTCGAAGCTGCTGCCACAACCTCCAAGACCAAATTATGTCCAAAGGTGTACCAGCCATTCAGTAGCACCTTGGGGCCGGACGACAGTAAATGGCGCAGGTTCCGTATATATTTATATATGCTTCATTTTTGGTCTTTTTCTTAGATTAAAAAGGTGTTTTTCTTCCATTTTTCCGTATACTTTCAAAACTTTAGCGACCATAGCCCTCCACAATTTCCTTTCCTTTGTAGCGCTTAATAAATATTGTCTCTTTTTCATCTCTCCTAAACCCTTTCTGCCATTAGTTCACTCGCTAAATAGGTTGAGTGTCTCTTTCCTTCGTCTTCTTAAATCTGTCTCGTGAGTATTAAATTTGCTAACCTTCTTTCCTTATTATGTATCCTAGAAATTTCAATTCTCTTTTCATGATGTTAATTATAAGTTTTCTTTTTTTCCAGTTTTCCAGTCATTGCTCATCTTCGGCCCATGGTATTCTCCGCATCCTTCTGCAGAAACACATTTTTGTTACATCAAACTCTTCTTTATCTGTTAGGAGATTGTCCAGCATTCACTGTCATATAGGAGGACAAATATTGCGTAATAATTCAATACATTTCTTTGTTTCTAACTAGATTTTCCTGTTTCTTAATACTTTGCTTAGTTTTTGGAAGGCGTCTTTTGCTATTCAATGGATTTCAATGTCTCACATTACGCCCTCTGTTGAAACAGTTCCAAGATATTTAAATTATTCTACTTGTTGGATTTTGTTATCTACAATTTGTAATTCATATGTTGAGCTGTTCCTGTTGCTAACTGCTATGTATTCTGTCTTCTTGTAGTTGATGCTTAGCTCTTTCTTTTCACTTTCCTTCACTAACTTCTGTAGGAGTTCATGCAGTTGCTTTTCTTAATCTGCTATTGACGGTGCATATCTTATATTGTTAAGATGGTGGCCGTCAACAATGAATCCTTACAGGACTACTAATACTCTCAGAATCTCCTCACTCTATAAATTGAATAAGTCCGGTCCTGGATTATTTTAAAATTCTTCCTAAATATGTCAAGGATACCTACGTATATGGACATGTGGCCGACTGGTTAGAAAAATCACTTTTCGACCATGAAATCCAGGTTCGAGTCTCACTATGGTCGATTTGTCAGGAAATTGACTTCTTCATTTTATCGGTGTGTTGACGCGAACCCAGTGCGCGGCACCTTTGGAACGTGCCTGGAAACCAAGCAATTGTGAGTCAATTTGAGTAGAAGGAACTATTTGGACACCGTCGGTAGTTCAGGTTACACGAAGTCGCAAGTCATCGTGACCGAGAGTTTGAACGTACTGGCCTTGTTCAAGCCAGATAATGCGCTCTCTACCAGAATATGTAACCCGCTCCATATAGTTGTAGTATGAACTACAGGTGGGCCCTGTGAGCGTTAAAAAAATATAGTTGAGTATGGCGGCTGCAGGATTAGCTAGCCGGCCTAGCAGACAGGCAGACTCGGATACGAGCGACCAGCCATTACAATAAATAGCTGTTCAAACAGTTTTTCGAGTAGGATTTTCTTAATTGCTTTTGCATAATCTAAAGAAATTAGCTATACATAATTTTGCATTTCTTGCATTATTATGAAAATAAATCTGACTCTGTGGCTGAGATAGTTGCATTTGTCACAAGATTTAGTCTGAGATCCGTATTTGAGGATATGTAAAATCCTAAATTCCGAATGCTAATTTTCAAGTCTTTTCCCTATTTATTTGTTTAACGGCATATTCCTTATAGGTCATTTAATGTCGAAATTTAATTTTCTTGGCAGCATTAGTAATTTCTTTTACAAAAATGTATTGCTGGAATTTTTTTTTACTATGAAAATAGATTGCTGGTATTTTTTTTACTATGAAAATGTATTGCTGGAATTTTTTTACTATGAAAATGTATTGCTGGTATTTTTTTTTACTATGAAAATGTATTGCTGGTATTTTTTTTTACTATGAAAATAGATTGCTGGTATTTTTTTTACTATGAAAATGTATTGCTGGAATTTTTTTACTATGAAAATGTATTGCTGGTATTTTTTTTTACTATGAAAATAGATTGCTAGTATTTTTTTACTATGAAAATGTATTACTGGTATTTTTTTACTATGAAAATGTATTGCTGGTATTTTTTTTTACTATGAAAATAGATTGCTGCTATTTTTTTCCTATGAAAATGTATTGCTGGTATTTTTTTACTATGAAAATGTATTGCTAGTATGTTTTTTACTATGAAAATAGATTGCTGGTATTTTTTTACTATGAAAATGTATTGCTGGTATTTTTTTACTATGAAAATGTATTGCTGGTATTTTTTTACTATGAAAATGTATTTTTATACTTAGACAGTTTTTTGACCCTAGTTGGGGTGGTTCACTATTTGCCCATAGCTGGGACCCTAACAGGTGCTACCACCCCGGGTCAGGGTGGATCTGAGAACAATAGCAATTAAGAGGTGGTTTTACCCTCCTCAAAATCTCCCGATCAGAGGCCTTGCGGCCGGGTGTAGTTTATTATCATACTCAGGACGGTTTTTCCAATTTTAATGAATGACACAAAACCCAAGACTAATTCTGTTTTTTAAAAATGTTACGCTGTTCAAATGGCATTTCTGTTTTGTTGTTGATCGTTCTTTCCTTGTGATCTCTCTTGTCCGTGATAAATATTTTATCGCTGGAACAAACGCTTTTAAACGAGGATCATGAGGAGAGGGTGTCACTTTAGGGAGCTGTTCCTTCTTTATATGCCGTGCCTCCTAAGGAGGTAGGCGATCATAGCTTTTCTTTGTAGCTCTTAATAAATTTTGTCTTTCTGCTATTTTCTCCTAAACTAAAAGAATAGCCGAAAGCGCATGGAAACGCAGAACTTTTGGACAGTTTTTACACAGTTTGTGTCCAGAAAAGAAAACACTTGTAGGGGTACAAGAAAAATTAAATAAAAAGCTTAATCACAGTACCTTTTCTGTCGTCTTCAACTAAATTTGTATAAAAAGAGATTACTGCTCAAATCGATATATATATATATATATATAATATATATATATATATATATATATATATATATATATATATATATATATATATATATATATATTAAGCTTTCGGCTTATATAAGCCATTATCAAAGATGTCAATTACTGTACAATATATTAGATTGGATTAAGAAATATGGATCAATATTGTGATTTTCTTTCTTCGTTTAATGATAATGTTATTAAGCTTATCAGACGTTATGGAAAGAATTTACATAAAATAAATAGACAACACTTTTCTATATTATTTAATGAAACATGTATGAATGAAAACATGCTGCCTAAATACAC